ACTGTTCGAAATCTCGAAAGCTACTGGTCCTAAATTGCTCGAAATCTCGTCAACCGCTGATCAGAACCTATCGATGTGGGTTCAGAAAATGTAGCTGACGATGAGATCTAGTGGGGGATTTAAGTGTTGAGCTTCTGCAAAAGCTTGGAAACCGTAAAATAGTCACCAACTCGGCTGGGGTGCACTACTATTAGAGAAAATACGGTAATGTAAAGTAATGTAAAGGCAATGTAAAGTTAAACAAATTTCAACGATAAAGAAAAGGTTAGATCTAAAAATCGCAAAAATATAACAATACATCAAAATCCTGATATAAATCGATCACAGATACTCCCGCCATTCATTCGGACGTTCTCACCTCAGCAAGAAAAGTGTTTGAGTGACAGCTGAAGGAAATCCGTGTTTTCTTTCTTTTCTTTCTTTTCTTTCTTTTCAGGCGAAACTTTTCAGTTGCAAGGTTGTTGTTTTCGTTCTTTTTCTGAAAAGTCCCTTTGTCAAAAGTCTCATACTTTTCGGAAATCTCAAAGACCAAAAGAAAACGACGACAAATGGGGGAGTCGCCAGAAACTTTACGATTATTTGTAGTTTTTGGTGTTTTCTTGGAGGTCTTTAAAGTTGTTAAGTGGTTGTCGTTATATATTGTTGATTGAGAGGTGAGGATTGGACTGATCTTTAACGTTTACGGCAAGTTGGAAACCAAATTTTCAGGGTGATGAGTAAATCAAAGTGCTAGAGTTTCAACAGCCTTTATCACATAACTAGTTACTTTTAGTAAATTTGGAAAATATTGCATTCAGAGGTTGGCACTTCTGAACTTCAAAGTACTATAAAAAGCGTAACACTGTGTTTCTAAAAATTGTAATTGGCCACAGAAATTAACTTGAAATTTCATATAAATCTGAAATTAGGGAAATTGAATAATTGGGCGTCGAGGTACAGTCAAAAAAACCGAGTTTCCATAAATGTACGCCACCCTGTACTCGTAGTTAAGTTTTTTCGTTTTCGTGCAATCATTAATCTTGAGATTAGTTGTCTTGACTAGTTTACAGCACTAAAGCAATCAGTTGACACATGGAATTTCCAAGGAAGAGGAAGAAGCATTTGTGGTTGTATTACCAATTCGATACTTCTTAACTTATTAAATTTCATTCAAACTTTCAAACTTTCAAACCTTCAAACCTTTAAACCTAAGCCTTTAAGTTTCGTTTGTCAAAAAAGTCTTTTACTTTCATCTTCATAGCCCCTTATACCCCATTAAATCCTAGATCGAAATATGATAAAGTTAATTGAAACTAGCGTCAGCCTCAACAATGAACAAGCTAGTATTCCATTTCTTATTTTCTCATTTTCGTATGTTTCTCAGCCCTCAGTTTTTCAAGTTCTTTACTTTTTACTTGACTCTTTTCCATTCCCAGCCTCTGGCACTAAGGGCTATTGTTTCTCACCAAAAGAAAGGCCAAAGTGTGACCATATGGCATGAAAATTTGGCCACACAAACGTCACACCTAAAATGCTCTGGGTAAAAAGCTTTGAATCAAAAATTCTTTGTTTACTATAGTTTTTGTGGTTCTTCTATTCTTTAGAAGTGGTTCTTCTATTCTTTTTGTGGTTCTTCTAATGCCATTGTTTACTATTCAACGTAATAACATTTTAGAACTTGGTTCTGAGCTAGTCAGGCTCCCCTTTTCAAGAATTCAAAAATATTGTTTACCAGTTTTTGTCACATAATTCTTTGTTTGTTGATCAGGTAGCTGAATTGATCTTTGAAATTTTACTAGTCTAAGCTGTAATTACAAGTGTTAGTAACTGATTGCCAGAAATTAGTCTCAATAATGGATGATCAACAAAGATAGAATCGATTTGAAGTCCCTATCTGACCTAGTTCTGATTGACCTAACCCGGCCAGGCTCGGCTCGGCTCGGCTCGATGCTCGATGCTCGATGCTCGAATCCTCTAAAACTCAATTGAACCTATGCTTTTAAGGTTTCAAAAAAGTGTAGCTGTTCTAAAGGTTCCAATTCTTCTATTTACTATATATTTCTTTTCCCCATCACCTTTGCTGTTTGGGTAGCGCATAAGCAGAAAGAGAGCGGGTAAATTTAATCAAAACTTCACTTTGTGATGGTCAGTCGGCCTTCGGGAAAGGCTTTGGGCGGAGTAAAGTGTTTCCTTAAGCCAAAGATCTTGTAAAACATTCAGTGTTTCTCTAGTTTATCTCTTAATTTTTAAAGAATATTATCTGTTATTAAGCATGTAATACTTTTGAGCTTAGGCAAATGCTTGGCTTGATTCAGCTGAAAAACAGATTTGGAAGATTCGATAACTAAGCCTTTTCCGCCTTTTTCAAATTTTCGTTTATAAATGAATAATTAGTCGATAAGCGTGCTGTTTGCTTTAAATAAAAAGATTAACTATTTCATTTAGCTACTCTTTAGGCAACTTTGAAGCTTTGAAGGAAATCCGAACGGAATTCTTGTTTTTCTAAAATTCTTACAATGAACATAGAATAAAAACGGTTTGGTAAAATGATATAGAAATTTTATCTATCTGCCTAACTTTTTACTCTCTATTTTTGTCTTTTGGCACCAAAATCGTTTTCCGTGATAAAAAGTGCTCAAATAGAAACTTTGACATCGTTTTTGACTGCTAGACTACTAGTTAAAGGTCAAAAATCTCAAGCTTTATTCCTCTAAAGCTTTCCAGAATTTCTTAAAGAACAATTTGTAAATAAATAATAGGACTTTTTGGTAAAACAAATCATAAATCGATTGGCTCATTATTCATTTCAAAAAGTGACCTTTAAAAAAATCGGAAAAGTCTTTCTGGCCAGTCTTATACTTACAATTAGCCGTACGAATTCTTTGCAGTTTTTTTGTACTAGTTCTTTTGAAATCGAATTCTATGTAAAACTTATTTACACGCTCTTATAAAGCTCTATAAAGTTAAAGTATTTTGTTTTTATATCATTAGTGAAAGAAATCCTTTCCAAATGCTTTGTTCGTTCCATCAATCCCCTCACTGACAAGGGAATTGAAAGAGCTCTTTGATGTCTTTTCCGATCTTTTCTCTTTCTTCTTCTCCCATTTCTGTCTTCGTATGCAAATTTCACGGGGTCTCATCATTTGAGACTTCTCATTCATCTTTTAGGATTTGCCTTTTGAACACAAGAGTCTCAATAGAATGAAATTAGAATGCACCACTGACCGCAAACAGACATTGACACCCACAAGATCTCGCGCACAACCGAGAATTCATTAAGAGCAATTTTCATTAGAAATCTTTATATTAGATGAAATTTTTGCTAGAATGCTAATAAGCTTATGGGATTTGGTACAATAAAGATTTTGGGATCACTGCATGTTATACTTCTACCTAAAAGTGTTGGGTTGGTGAATTGAAAACTGCCGGCTATTGTCATAAGTGACAGTTTGAGCACTTTCTTCAAAAGAAATCCATTTTGGTGTCAATGGAAAAGTTGTAGAGAATCATAGATCAAGCTTATATCCAAATTTTCAGAACGATTCAAAAACCGGTTTTCAAGAAATGCCAAATTTATGAATTTTCACAAACCTTGCAACAAAACTCGCATTTTAAGCGAAACTACTAAGTGTATCTTTTTGGAAATTTGGCTATAAGCCTAATTTTTGATTCTCTACAACTTTTCTATTGACACCAAAATGGGTTTCGTTTGAAGAAAGTGCTCAAACTGGGACATCTCCAGTCCTCCATTTTTGAGTCTCACACTTGTCTCACACACAAACCAAAATCCTGCTACGAAAGAGGAATCTGCTAATTGCCTGTAATGGGCAGAAGTCGTCAATAATAATGGAGATTATTTGGAATGAATTTATGGTTTTATTTTGAATAAATCTTAGTTCAAAGTCCGGCAGCTTTCAATTCACCAACCCAATAATTAGCTTATGGGATATGGTAGAATAAAGATTTTGGGATGACTGCATGTCATACTTCTACCTAAAAGTAATTTCAAAATCTCAAATTCAACGGCTTAACACTTTTTGTTCAGTTTTGAATTTTGAAAGACTACTATTTTGAAGTAGTACCAATTTTGAAAATGTTAGCATCAATTTTTGATACCTAGATTATTAAAACTACCAGTCAAAGGTCAAAAATCTGAAGGTTTTTTCCTCTAAAAGCCTTTGATGACTTAAAATGGCCTCTTTTTCTTGTTGAGTCTTAGTAGAGCAATTGCCGGCATTTTACGAGTGCGTGTGCGTTTTTTTTGCAAAAGGTCAAGCTCAATTGCTTCTAGAACTACTTTACACAATGTTTTTTTTTCAGATTTAATATTTAGAAGGAAATTATTGCTTAAACATTTCCAAAACTTGCCACTCAGCGCTATTAGATCAAAATACTTGTCCCCAACAGAAACCTAAAACCGTGGAACACTTTAGGGTACTCCTTTCCCTAAACCATTCCTTCTTTCTACTCATATATAGCAAATATTGACCGTTTGGCTCTTTTTAGCCTAAAGATGGTGTTTCGTTCAACTCTCTTCTACTCTTAATATTGATTTGATAGTTATTTTCAAGAAATTATACAAGCTTTTACTGAAAGATGGGACAAACTATGGCCTTCGTGAACTTTTGAACTGAATCTCTCAGCTCGTCTTATAATGCTTTAGAAATTTTAGCCCTAAATATAGCCCTAGATATAGCCCTGAATATTTGAAAGATTTAGATTTGATGCATAATCATTGTATGAAATTTTGTGTTTGAATATTATCTACTAGTCTGTGACTTTCTTTTCCGATTCTCAGCCAAAATTTTGATGGAGTGTGGGTGCTGACCCGGAAGGGAGAGGGCGCAATCGACACCCTTTTCCATAGCGATTCTAACACCCGTCACTTGCATTTTTGTCATTTTTTGGCTATTCAAGTGATTACATCAACTTTTAAATCACTGTTATACTCGCTGTAACAAGTGCTCAGCTATGTTTTATTTTCTTTTCTTTTCTTTTCTTTTGACAAAATCCCCTTTCAGATGAAACGCCGAAAGTTTCTTTGCACAGCCTACATTCTCTGCGCTTTGATTACACTGATATTTTGCTATGGCTTCATTTCTTCATATGAAGGTAGTTTTTTGATTTGAATTGTTTCAAAAAATCAAATCTCTATGGACAATAAAAGGGCTGGAGTTGTTCTTTGTGCGCCCGCGTAATCGCTCGCGATCTGGCATACCAGCCCGGTATAGGAAGCTTCCCTTTTACGATCCGTAAAGGGGAAAGAGCGGTGAGCGACTTCATGGTTTTGGCGTCATTATGCTCAAATTTCGAGGAGCAATTTTTGAAAGGAGGAGAGACTTAGTTTTGGGATATCCCAGAGTTGGAGAATATGTTGCTTTGCTCCTCAGTCTTTCGGCTACTTTTGGTCTAGCAGGATGTCGAGTTTTTAGCAAAAATACCGTCAAATTCAAGGCAAAAAAGCCTTCACGGATTCTAAAAGGGAAACAGCTTATACGGGACGGACATGCCATATGGAGAACGATCACGCGCCTGCACAAAGAACATCTTTTACATAGGGCTTTTTCTTTTGCTTTGTAGATGGCTGCAAAAAAAGCTATTGGGCTGTGAGTTACGCACGGGGGTTTTCGGGTTCGGGAAATCGATTGGAGCTATTCATTTTATTTTATTCATTGGGGCAAAAGCTGCTTTCATCATGTAGTACCTGATAAAATCACATAGATTAATTGATAAACCGATTTATTTTAATTATTTCTATATGAAAGTTAATTAAAAGATTCTATTAAGTCGATAATTTGGTCTTAGTGAGAATGGATCCTCCTTGTAAGCAAAGGATTTAACTTTTATTAGTCTAAAAAGTTTCTGTTTATAAGTTAAGCCATAGAATGTAATTTATAAATGATGAAATATTGGTTTGGTGAATTGAAAACTGCCGGCTATTGTCATATGTCACAGTTTGAGCACTTTCTTCAAAAGAAACCCATTTTGGTGTCAATGGAAAAGTTGTAGGGAATCAAAAATCAAGCTTATATCCAAATTTTGAGAACGATTCAAAAACTAGTTTTCAAGAAATGTCAAATAGACGAATTTTCACAAAACTCACATTTTAAGCGAAACTACTAAGTGTATCTTTTTGGAAATTTGGCTATAAGCCTAATTTTTGATTCTCTACAACTTTTCTATTGACACCAAAATGGGTTTCTTTTGAAGAAAGTGCTCAAACTGGGACATCTCCAGTCCTCCATTTTTGAGTCTCACACTTGTCTCACACAAACCAAAATCGTATTGTCTATTGTCATAGCCGACCATAAGACGACCCTTAATGCAATCAAATACAGTGAACAGTTGGAAAAGGTGAATGAATCCCTGAAGAAGAATAGGCTCTTCAAGTCAAAGATCGTTCTCCTCCACGACAACGCGCGCCCTCATGTCGCAAAACTGACTCGCTCTAAAATAAACAGCCTTGGTTGGGAACTTTTGGCACATCCCCCATACAATCCGGATCTTGCCCCTTCTGATTACTATTTATTCCGGACCATGAGTAATGAGCTTGCGAGAGAACACTTCAATTCAGAAGAAGCAGTCAAAAAATTGGCTCGAAAAGTTTTTCGATTCAAAACCAAAATCCTACTACGAAAGAGGAATCCGCAAATTGCCTGTAAAATGAGCAGAAGTCGTCAATAATAATGGAAATTATTTGGAATGAATTGATGGTTTTATTTCAAATAAATCTTAGTTCAAAGTCCGGCAGTTTTCAATTCACCAACCCAATACATTAAATTGCTTTAATTGAAGGTTTTAGTATCATATTTTCTTGGAATTCAAATACAACCGGCTCAACGGATTGCCAGTGATTGCGAGGTGATTACTGGAAAGTTACAGAATTTTACCACTTTCTAGACTTTGAATATTGCGATGGTGATTGCCGGCTACGAAACAACGAATAGAGCTGTGATTCTTTTAAAATCGATCTTATTTTACTATCAACAACGAATTCATTTCCATTTCATCACCGATCATCGATCAATGGATGTTCTCCCAAAATTGTTCAATACTTGGCAGTTAGCTGATGGTAAACTAGATAAAATGATGAGTAAAGCAAAGAATTTAGTTGAATATTCTTTCTATAACTCAACAAATTACATCAATCGTGTCAATTGGATTCCGAATAATCACTATTCGAAACATTTTGGTCTGATTAAACTGTTACTGGCTGATATTTTACCGGAAGATGTTAAGAAGGTAATTTTGGTCTCTAATCTATTCACAAGACTAAAAATTGATGGAATTCCTTGAAATAAAGCCATATTTCATAAATTTCATAAATTTCAGGTTCTTCTACTGGACACTGATCTGTTGATTGTTGGAGAAATTCAAGAGCTGATTGACAGTTTCTCAAAGTTGACAAATGGAAAATTGTACGGACTTGTGGAGAACATGTCAAGATGGTATACAACACAGGATCCCATTCATCACGTTTGGCCAGCACTGGTTGGTAGAGGCTGGCAATGGAAAACAGTTACAGCGTGACATAGCTCGTCCTTCGCTTAAGAAATAGACAATAAACAGCTTAAAATTCAACACATAACTCTCTTTATAAGTGGGTAAACAAAAAAGTACTTTTGAAAATAATATTATTGAGCTCTCAGTAGCATTTCTGAAAAAATAGTTGAGGCTCTAGAGAAGTCGAGTGCCAAGCTTCTAAACGCTGCCAAAAAATATCGGATAAAGCTAGCTCCAAGATAATTTGTTTTTATGCTACTGAGAGTTCAATAATATCATATTCAAAAGCAGTTTTCTGTTCACCCACTTATAGAGAGAGTTACGTGTTGAATTTGGTTACTTTGTTACTTCTTGGACTGGTTACTTCTTGTCACCCTGTAAAATACAGTTACAAAAGCGAGTATCAATAATTTTTAGGGATCCGGCTTTAACACTGGGGTTGCTTTGATCAATCTGGATGCAATGAGAAAAATCCGATGGAATCACATTTGGAGAACGGTGGCGGAAGAGAATTTGAAATATTACGGGAGAACGATGTTGGCTGATCAGGCAGGAGCTACTATAATTTCAAATGCATCATGAAATATACACCAACTTTGAGCTTTTACGTCAAAATTTAAACAATCAGTTAATCCAGGACCGTGAAAACAAGCCATTATTTGGGTAGAAGCAAGGCTTGAGTTTTGGTCCAGTACTATTAGGTTGATGCAAAAGTCTTGTCATTTTTTTCGTACTTCCGTTAAAAAGTAACAAATGCACCAATTGAAGAACGGTTTATTGCATTCGAAAGGCCAATTATTTTTCTGCAAAATGACATTAAAACGAGTTTAAAATGTCTTATGTCTAGATTTTTTTGAGAGCCTGAAGTCGGGTAGTCAAAAAAGGCGACGGCTCGATGATGCATTTTAGACGCTTTAGCTAAGGAAACCAATCTTGATGTTAATAAATAAAAGATAGAGCACAAAAAGTTAGATATTTTTTCAGATTTTCAGAGAAATTGATTCAGCCAATTTCTTTATAGAGGTTTTTATAGATTTTTATGAAAAACCCGTTTTCACTCTCGAATTTGCTTGAAAGTGAACCCAAATTGACTTAAAAAGATGGGAAATTGAACAATAAACACTTTTCATTTAGAGCAAACCATAGGTTAATTGATGACTTTGTTATTTTTCAAAAGAAGTACGAAAAAAATGAAAAAGACTTTTGCATCAACCTAATACAAGGTGACTGCGAATTATAGCGACGACCTTTTGGAAAAGTAACTAGGAAATGACTCATTTATTTCAAAAGTGTTATGTAGAGAACTGTAGCTCTAATTCTTGACAACATTTATCTACCAAAAACTTCCCAATTGGATTTATACAACTCATTTAATAAGTGCTTGAACGAGCGGTAGTCGAAAATCCTCCGGCGAATCTGTTGTTTGACCGCTTTTTTGTATTAAAAATTGATAAGAAAAGCTTTCAATATTTCTTTAATGCAAAAATAGCTTTTAAAATCAATAAATAACATTAAGAATCACACTTAACTGTATTTAAAATGTAAAAATTTTGGTTGATGTGAAGCTTCTTTTCAAGGAGCAGGGAAAAGGTGAAAATTTAGTATTTTCGATATTCAGTTATGTGTATCTCGTTCTATCAGCTATAAATTTTGTTAAAAACAATTTTTTAGACAAGATTACCACAAATCTGACTGAAAAAAACCTTTTCGAATGAAATCTTAATGTAAAATGCGGCCAAATCGCAGAGATGAGAGAGATATCGACTAGCACTTCAAGTGCTGGTTAAATGAGTTGTATAAGAAGATTTTGGCAGATAAATGTAACCAAGATTAAGGGCTACAATTCTCTATTGAACGCTTGACACCTCCAAAATAAGTTAGACATTTCCTGGCTACTTTTCCAAAAAGTTGTCGTTATAATTCGCGGTCACCCTGTAGTTCTGATTGAGTGATTTGTAGTGGAACAAGCCTTCAGCAAATCAATGTCAGGTCTTGTAAAATCAAGACCTGACATTGATTTGCTGCATAGCCTGACTTCGGAACAACCTTAATGGATGGAGTTAAAGGCTGATTTGCTTCGGCTTTAGCTTTGATTTAAATCTTAAATCGAAGTTGAATTATGGAATCGCAAACAAACTTTTATACAAGTTATAATCGTTTTGATTCACTTTCCAATTTTAGGATATCATCAACGCAATCTTCGTCCAAAATCCCCATTTCATCCATCGTTTACCCTGTCATTTCAACGTACAAATGGGCCTGAACTCGCAACCAGCTCTCTGCAAACAAGACTCGAATGCGTTCAAGGTAAAAGATTTATTCAATAAACCTATTTTAATATAAAACATTTTCTTGAGCGTTTTCAATCTCGACAATTTGTGCAGTATGATTAGTTGCGAAATAGGGATCAGCATCGCTCAGATCAACCGCATAGGGGAAACCCTTTCGTTTCACCAACCAGAAAGTGTGCATTTCTCCTTTTCCCTGAAAATTGATATCTAAATTATTGAAACTATTTAAATTCTATAGCTTGAACTCAAATTTGTAAACCCTACTCATTCTAGAGCACTGAATTCTTCATTTTTCTTGTAGCAACAATCGGTGAAGGATTGAGCACATCGGAAAGGATGCGTTTACAAATTAGAGCACAAAGTACAGGTGAAAGCCATAGATTTTTGGAAAATCCACCTTTATCTCCAGCGCACCTCTTTCTTGAATATTAAATTGCCCTTTAAAATGTTGTTGTAAGTGATTGGCTGTATTTGGGCTGATTTGAATCCTCATTGCTAAAATTTTCTCTTAAAAAACGTTCTAACTAAACACTTGCATTTTCCGTTTGTACGTCGATAGGTGTACAACGGAAATTCACGTCTTAAGCTCTTTAAAAACGATTTTTTTTAAACGTTTTCTACCGTTGGATAACATTTTAAAAGCTCTATCTAATGATGAAAAGAAATGCTTGAAATAATCATTTTTAAAGGAATTAAGACGTGAATTTCCGCTTTACACCTATCGACGAATGGACCGAAAATGCACATATCTCTAAGAATTACACTACCCAATCCCGTTGATTCCATTCTTGATGCTGTGTTAACAGTGTCTCCAAACAGACAATATCTCGGCATTTTGAGACCAACGATCCCCGCCGCTGCCATTCCCGAATTGATCCCGATTCTCATTTTCAGCTTTTCACTCGGTCGATGCGGAACTACCATCATAGAAACTTCCTAAAACCATAGAAACTTCCTAAAATCATAGAAACTTTCTAAAATCATAGAAACTTCCTACAGAAACCTTCCTTTATCTGCGATTTTTGGAATCATATAGAGTTTTGAGGCTTTTTAAATGAATAACCGCCTTTTGAAGATTCAGAACTTTGTTTATTTTTGCCAACTTTCCATATAGTTTTAACGAAAACACTTTGTGCTTTCAAATTCAAAAATCTTCGGGGAATTTAGAGAACTTCATCTAGAGAATCTAGAGAATCTAGAGAACTTCATCTAGAGAACTTCATCTAGAGAATCTAGAGAATCTAGAGAACTTCATCTAGAGAACTTCATCTAGAGAATCTAGAGAATCTAGAGAATCTAGAGAACTTCATCTAGAGAATCTAGAGAATCTAGAGTCAATGAGATCTTGAGCTCTTTTGTCTTTTGATCTTTTGTCTTCAAAACTCCATTTTCCTACCTTCAACATATGCAAAGCCATTGTGCAAATCTCATTCGAGTGATCGTATCCATTTGCTTTGGGAATCCCGGAAACAACCATGTAAGCGTCACCTAGAAACTTTCAAAGTTCAAAACAGTTCCACCACATTCACCTATTGTCTCCACTTTATAGCAATTATAATTATCCAGAACGTTGTCCATCGTTGTATAGAGTTCATTCAACAATGTGACCACCTAAAAGGTTTGAAATTGAATTTTTTACATCTACATCCTCTATAATTGCCAGAGGATTGAATATCTGATACTTAAATTGAAGAATTTAGTTTTTCTAGCTGCATATCTTTTCCTGGCATACTGTAATGAATTCAAGTAATTCTAGAACTTTTTAAAACTACCTTAACTCTTCTTTTTGTTTGATCAATCAATCACTTTTAGACTAACTCTGTAAGAGTTTCGCAAAGAATACCAAAAGTCAATAAGTTGATGAAAAGGATTACAGGTGATAAGCTTCAGCTTGAAGCTTGAAGCTTTAATAAGTGATACGCTTCAACTTGAAGCCGGTTGCAACCGGCCGGTTGGGTCAAAGGCATGAAGATCTGCGATCAGCTCTCGATCGCTGTCACCAAATCACCCTACGCTTCAGAAAGCGAAAGAAATCCTCTAATCTAATTTAAAAACAGTATCAAAGGTACCTCTAAAGGTGTTGATGTACTACAAATCGTTGTAAATCCTTTGATATCAGAGAAATAAACAGTAGCCTCATTGTAGGTTTTTGGTAAAATCTAAAGGAGAATTTCTAATTCTTTCAAGTCTTTCCACTTACGACTTGTCCTAATTTTAAAGCTTTTGCCACTGATTTTGGTAACATTGAGAAGAGAAGTCGTTCACTTCGCATCTTTTCGGCGTTAAGTTCATCCATTTTCTCTCTAAAAGTGCAAAGTTTTTACTCCACAAAACTATGAAAAAACTTCATTCAACTCACTTGATTTTTCGATTCATTCTTTGTGTCTGTATTGTCAAATAGGCGACTACAGGTGTGCAAATGACCAGCGAAGCGGTGACAGTAGCAATGGCTGTGTAGAGAAGCGTATACGAGCTGCTCTTGTCTCCAGCCAAAATTTTTGTTAACTTTGCGTTGATCAAATCATTTGTCTAAATTGACTAATTTGCATAAATGTTTGCATGAATGCAAACTTGACTTTAATTCAGTTTGAACCTTGCAATCATTTTTCATGCAATCATGTTTCTTAGGTCTATTAAAAGTTCACAAAAAATGTCTAGTTTCTTAGAAAATCTATGAGCTAATCTTTGGGCGACCAAAAACAATTTTTCGTCTTTTTTGGCTTTTAATGACATTTGAATTACTGTAGTTTTTCTTGAGTGCAACTTTTAGAACCGTTCTTACTCACTGAGCTGATAATCAGATTCGAGAAAATCGTCAAATTGTTGAACCAATAAACGGCCATTGAAGACTTTGCTTCAGTGCTGTTTGAAGTTTCGTTGCTGAATACTTTTGAATTAATCAATTTTAAGCAAACTTGACTTTAATTCAGTTTGAACCTTTAACGAATTCGTGACAAAGCCTTGGTACTTGGTTGTCATTTCGAAGGGCGGCAAACTATTATAAAGAAGTGAAGAAATTGGCAAGAAAAAGTAGATTTTTGGAGAGGGATTGAACCCTCGACCTTTTGCTCGGGCAATTGCTCCCGGGCAATTGCTCTAGCTATCCGGTACCTTAATTTTCCAAGAGAAAGAAGGAAAGACAAGGAGCAGGTAGAAAGAAAGAAAAAGAGAAGGAAATACTTGGGTCTTTAGAACCGTCTTTAGTCAGAAAGTTCAAAATTTGCATACTGAGGTTTTCGGTGGTGCTGATTACAGATTTCATCTTTATAAGTCAAATTTAAGGTGAATTCGAAAGTGGATAGAAAATAACAGACCTTAGTGAGTTTTTAGAATTTTTGGTTCAAGTAGTAGCGAGAAACGATCATGGTTTTGTACCCTATTGCCACCAATTTGTTAAAGTTTCTCGGTTTTCGGTTTTGGGAAGCAGTAACTTAGCGAGTTTTTATTCGAATTGAAACAAAAATCAAATTTTAAGAAAAATTCCTCAAATACCGTTTCAGCGTTGGATTCTTTTTTGGTTGAGGAATAAGTAACTCGAACTATAAGGGTAGGCTAGTTTCCGCAACTTTTTTTGCGCAACAAGGTCATTTGCGCAACTCGTCATAACTTTCTTCTAAGTGGACCAATCTTTATGATGTTGGCTTCGTTTTGTTGCACTTATTGAGATCTAGTAGCTTACCCCGACAATGGGGCATTACTTTTTGCGGACCACTGTATCAAATCTATTTTATTTTAAAAAGATTTGAGTTGATCCCATAAAACGGCTGTGTAGACGAGGGTTTGGTTTAAATGACTGAATATCTTTTAAAAATAAAGTAGATTTGATACAGTGGTCCGCAAAAAGTAATGCCCCATTGGAGGGGTAGGCTACTTTGCGCCAAATTTTTTGCGCAACTTGCCATAACTTTCTTCTAAGTGGGGTAATCTTTATGATTTTTGTTTCATTTTGTAGATCTCAATAAGTGCAACAAAACGAAACCAACATCATAAAGATTGGTCCACTTAGAAGAGAGTTATGACGAGTTGCGCAAACGACCCAGTTGCGCAAATGACCCTGTTGCGTAAAAAAAGTTGCGGAAACTAGCCTACCCCGAGTTATGTCTAGCTTTTCCAACTAAAAAGGATACCTAATAATCTGTTCAGTCATTTCATTGATAATATTCGTCAACGCCGACGCATTGTTCATCGCTTGATCCAAAAAGTTGGACACCTAGAAATTGAGAAGGTTTGCAAAACTTTCAATCCCTCACATCTGGATCACTTTGTTTTGCCACTTGCAAATATCGATCCCCAGCTCCACTACTTTCTAAAAAAATTTCAATTAGTACATCTTTTTTTTTTATAATCTTACCAATGAAAAATGTGTAGATATTCGGGGCCAAATACCCTTGAGCAAAGAACGAGCCACCAAGCGCTCTTTTTAGACCTAAAAAATTAAGTTCAATTTGGGTAGTAATAAAGTGAAGGAATTGGCAAGAAAAAGTAGATTTCCGAGATTAAACCTTCGACCTTTTGCTTTACAGGCAATTCCTCTAACCACTGAACTATCCGCGACCTTAACTTGCCAAGAAACAGGGAAAGACAAGGGGGAAGAAGAAAGGAAGAAGGAAAACTTTGTTCTCTTTTCATTTCTCGGAACTAAATGCGCCAGAAAGCGTGTGCTTACAACCATTTTTTTGGTCCAATACAGTAAGCTATCCAATCTTTTTATCGTCCAACTTGTGCAAATTATAATCCAATCCTAATAAGATTCGTCTGACGATGACTTACTACAGGGTGCGGCAAAAGTTCGGAGCCGCTATGAAAACATTGCAGAAAATTTAGCTCACGCTTTTTTTTGTGTGGTGATGTGTGGTAAGGTGATTTGTTACAAGAATTTTCTTTTTAGGAGAAAATTCGTAAGAATGAACGCCAAAAAACGACGCGAAGTGATTCTCGGATTATACCAAGGCGGAAAAAATAGCCCGGAGATTGTAAAAATCACGAAATATCCAAAAAGCACCGTCAACAAAGCACTTAAACGCTACAAGGTGATAAAGAACAACAAGGATCGCCCTCGAACTGCCGTAACACCTACGAACACCAACGAAATTCGCTTTCGGATTCGCCAAAACAAACTGCGGTCGATCCGAAAGTTGGGTAAACAGCTGAAAATTAGCCCTCGAAGCGTTGGAAGGATTGTTAAAGGGAAACTAAGATTCTTTAGCTACAAATTGGCCAAGGCACACGTCTTGAGCGACAAATCCCAGAAGAAACGAAAGCGTCTAGCAAAGAAGATGGTGCGCTTGGTGGCGATTGGCCTACTTCAGCGGATCCTCTTCACAGATGAAAAGATTTTTTCTATCCAGTCATTGCACAACCGCCAAAATCATAGATAACTTCTCAAAAGGGGTCTGAAGAACACATTTGCGGCAAATTTGATGGTTAGAAAGTATTTTTCAGCTTCGATTATGGTGTGTGGAGGTATGTGTGCTACCAACAAGACACCCCACATTGGCGCGGAATAAGGCAAAAATGCGTTTTCTATCGGATTTTTGCGGGAGTACCTTTTTTAGATGCGGAAAATTCTGCTGATTCCGAATCTGAAGGAATTTTTCAAATCCCTTTGACAGAAATTTTTTAAATTGAGTTTTAGCGGTTTTTTGGTCATTTTGTATGGGAAATTTTGTGGTACCCTGCAGTTTGGGGCTCGTAACTCGACAATCAGGGTCTGGAACAAAAAACGATGGGATAATTTTTATTCTAGACACTCACACGAACATTTTGATACAAAAATCATCAAATTTGCTCAACTCTACAAAACCCTGTATTTATTGAGTCATTCATTTAAGCCACTCACCCATCATCTCTCGAGCATTTTGCAGCATTCTCAACGCATCGAAAGCACCCCAGAACTGCCCTTCATTACTATCATAGAACACTCGACCAGTGTTATAAATGAGGATTTGAATGAACGGAGTATAGAAGCTAAATTTAGTTTAATACATAGAAATTGGAGCATTTAAAAACTCACTCGATATTCTGCTGCACTGTCGTTATCGTAGCCCCGACACTGTCCCGGTGATTTTCCAGAACAGTTTGAAAGGTCGATGCGTTGTGCAAATTGCCACTGTCTTGAATCAATCGCTAAAATTATGGCCATATTTTGCCTTTTGTACCAATTTATGAGAGTTCAGGGCTTTTGGATTAGTTATTTTGCGCTGATCTACAACTTGCAACCTAATCTAGAAGCCATAGTACGAGTTGGACTCACTCATCAGTCATCTTGACCCATTCATCAGCTTTCTGGCCTACTATTGACATTGGTTGATTGGAGTCAACCCTAAAAGAATCAAGAGACGAAACGCTCAACTCAGATCGCATCATTCTCTCAGTTTAATTGACATGGGCACTACAAACTACAAACGTAAACTACAAACGCTTCCAACTTGCTTCAAATTTACCGGATTGGCATGATCTATGGCTCAAAAAATAGAGGATCTCAAGATCTTTCAAATGGTCTAAAGCACACTCAAAAATAGGAATGCTGGAGAAAGTTACAGTGGTTTCAGCCTGACTCAATTGCTTCAACTTCACCCGAGTACGGTTCTTATCGAGCCTGGAGTTCTAGCCGGGGGTTTCGGGTCAGGAGTTTTGAGTCAGGAGTTTTGAGTCAGATTTGTCAGATGGAGAACGATTAATGCATAAAGTACACCTCGCCAGTTATAGGGATTTCTTTTATAAATGGTACATAAAGAAGATATTCAGCTGTAAATTTGTACCTGGGGTTTTCCGGGCTCGGGGAATCGTTTAGAGCTATTCATTTTATCTCCAGAAAAAGTAAAGTAAAAAGTAAAGTAAAGTAAAGGAAAATTTGGAAAATTTAGATTCAACGTGCGACAAGTTGAACGTTGCACTTGTTGCACTTATTAATCATTTCTTGATTCAACTTTCATTAGTAGTCTTTGAATCTATCAACAATTAAATCAGTCGAAAGATTGTGAATAACAAGCTGATAGTTTAAAGGACAAAAAGAAAGTCATTTCCGACAAATCCTTAACTATCAGTAACTATCTATCGAAAGCTATCGAGAAACTTAAACCATTAACTATCAAAAGCCAATTAAACCTCCCAGTTGAAGTCCTTAACTTAACTTAACTTAACTCTATAACTAGAGGATTATCAATAACCGAATTTCGTTCTGCGTTGCCCCTCCACTCACCGTCCATATACTCTGCATTTGATCAATCACTCCATCTGTTTGATTTCGATACGATTGTACTTGAGCCATAACAGAATTTTGGGTTGTACTAGAAAAAAACTTTGTTTAGACAGAAATCATTAAAGTATTGGGAGTATTGTCTTAGAAAGACAAAAAATGCATTAAGCGCAACAGTATCTATGCCGCATCCTGTAAGTATCTTTCGAAAGGTACCGTATTCTTGCTTGAATTAGTTGAATTAGGCTAAACACATTAGAGGAGAACTAGAAGTAATCCTACGGTAGTTTTCGAAGACTGATGCTTTTTAGGATACGCATTTGTTTGAAAGGAACACACTATGCTAAGAAAGGGTATTGAAACGCTGATAGATTAAGAAGAAATCCGAAAGACGAACACATAAAGTTTTAGGGATAAGTCTATCCATATAACCATCAAAGTCAGAGACCTGAGCGTCTCAAATTCAGAAAAACAAAGGATTAGTCGGGACACAAAACTAGGCATGCACTTCGAGCATTCTCTTCTACTTCAATCATTTCTATTCTTTCCTCGTGTTCGTGCATTCTCGTTTCTTTGCTTCCCAACCTGTCCTCAAATCCGATCTCCAACCTTGTGAGATAGACACAAGTCATTCCTCGTTCCAATTGGAGAGCGATCACCAATTGATTGAGGAGAATCGCTTGAGACATGTATTCCGTCAAGTTATTCGTCGTGCTCAGAGCTTGACTCACCTAAAGCTTCAATTGCTAACGGACAAATAAATTTTCCTTCTTTCCATAGAAACAAAAAGAATTATTTAAAGAATTTCATTCTTTATTAGTCTTAAAATATTGGATGAATGCATATGAAATGGGTAATTTATGTAAATTTCTTCACCAGAGCTGCTATCTAATTTTTGGATTGAATGAAAAGCTATAATTTTAAACTAATAACAGCCGGGCAATCTTTTTTTGGGAAATGATGGAGAAACTTTTCAATCATTCGAGTCAACTCAACTTTGATGTTCTTTTGAGCTAAAGTTGCTAGAGTTCTATTAGCTCGATATTTTTTAATCAACATAATTCTATTCAAAGATTTCAGTGAATTTTTATTGATATCTTTTTTGAGTTTTGAAAATAATAACGCCTAGAATTTCTTGATGAATTAGCTTTTTATTGTAAACGCGCATGAAAATCAAGATTGTTTGAAATAATTTGTTCGAAAGTAGAAATCATTGCTTCAAAAGCTGCTTATTGCATAACATTGACAATAAATCATAAAAGAACTTGATCTACTATATATAAAACAGAAGAGATGTCTGTCTATCTGTCTTTCCGTCTGTCTGTCTGTCTGCCTGCCTGTTTGTCTGTCTTTCTGTCTGTCCATCTGTCTGTATGTATGTCTGTCTGTCTGTCTGTCTGCCAGTCTGTCCGTCTGTCTGTCTTTCTGTCTGTCCGTCTGTCTGTCCACCTGTCTGTCTGTCTGTCTGTCCGTCTGTGCGCAAACGCGACGCACCGTAATCACGTTTGCTCTATCGATTAAAAGGCAAAGCATTCAGCTTTTTTGCTTTTATTTTGCGCTCAGGGGTTTTCTGCTATGGGGAATCTGATTTTTAGGTCTATTTTCTAAAAGGAGCGGGGCTTACGGTAGTTTTAGTCGTTTGAATGAGTTCCGCGCCTCCCCAGCGGAAAACGCAAAGAGAAGTGAGCGTTTTCTGCTGGTGGAACATAAAAGAACTTGATGATTGGCTGGGGAAATCTGGAAAAATTCAACCATTTCATATGCATTGTCCCAATATTTTGAGCAAAATTAACTAACGATAAGTACAGCTTGAGTACTAACACTATTTGTGAAGCTCTATTTGTTGCTGAACGTAGCACAAAAGTGGCAGCTTTTAAGTCCCAGTATCAGAAGCTACTCAATGCTGAATGTCTTGACAAAATTGACAATGCAATGACAAGGCAAACAGGGAATTCTCAACTTATAGTGGGTATACTAGATCTTTGGCACTTTTCCTTCAAAACGTTACTGATGCGGATCTATGTCTGAAACAGTTCTCTTCGAGAAATTTGCCAACCGTACCCTGTCTAGGCACTTAATTGTTGATTTCCCCACTCTCGATTCCAATGTAATGCCAATTTCTCTAGCAATAAATCATAAAAGAACTTTTTGGAATCTGGAAAGTCTAAAAAATTTAGACATTTCATATGCATAGACTCAATATCAGTAATACTCCTTACTTGATTTATCATCATCACCGACAAATAGATGACAGCCGCGAGTGGAGGAATGGCGACAACGACCATTTTGATCGAGTCCCAGATCTAAATAAGCTCTGTTGAGCTGTCTTTTTTTAAACTGTAAGAGAATTTTTAGAATACAGGGTGCGCCATAATCGTCGCAACAAGATAAAGTTCTGATTTTAAGGCAGACAAGAACAAAAAAGACAAATTTTTATCTGAATAACATTCCTTGTACATCAACAATTAAAAATCAACTATCAAATTCGAATCGGCCACCATTAGCATTTAAGCAAGCTCGCAGGCGTTTCGGGAAGGCGTCAATGTCAACGGTCGCGAACATAACTGAGCTGCTCTCAATTTCCGCTTGTTTTTAGCGGCATTTGAAAGAAGTTTTTCTTTTTTTTTCTTGTAATTTTTTTTTTTTTGAGTATCGGACGCAATGAGGTGCTTGAAATCGCCATCTTCTTTGCCATTTGCCTTGCCACTTTTTTCTTCAATTCGCCCCCTCCTTGCTTGTCTTTTCTTTTGTGGGTTGGGTCCGCTTCTTGGTCCATCAGCAATTGTTCCCGTAGCTTCGTAGCGTTGAATAGTGCGAAAAATGACACTTCTGCCGACTTTAAGACGCTTATGAATCTTCGGCGCCGAGATCCCCGCTGTGATTAGATCGATTGTCAAGGGGAATTTTCCCACCCATCTAAAAACTATTTTTATATATTATATAAAAAAAAAAAAAGACAGAAATGAAGCTTCAATCAACGAGTTATTGTCCTTAAACGATGCCTTGTTGCGACAATTATGGCGCACCATAATTGTAGAATAAATGTAGAATCGAATATTTCTAGAATTTCTAGAAAACAGACCTTTTCTTTCGTTTTCTCATCAACGGTTATCAGCGAGGTTCCTCTCGAGGCAAGACTTGTCGATGTTGATCTCGCGCCGGCGCTTTTCCCCCGCTGCATTACGAATGGTTTAACCATGCGAGAATTTGAATTACTAAATGAAATTAATGGCTAAAATTAATAACTAAAATTAATAGCTTTTTTCTAATCTATTTCAGTATTTAAAAATAATTAACAAGGCAAACTAGGCAAAATTTTGTTTCAGTCCACTATTTTACGGGATTTCAGCTCATGTTTTCTTGGTTGTTCAAGCTCAAGCTTCTTTTGTTTTCAGGGTTTCAAAAGCTTAATATTTTTGAATTTAACTTCTTTTAATATCTAGTTTTAACAGAAAAACTCGACTTACTCTGTGGCAAAAATTTTTGGTCCACTCGAGAAAAGTTTTGAATCTTTGTACATCTTTTGTGTGCCCTCTGGGAAAAGCCACAGAAATTAAAGAGATATTCTCTGAAAAGATAAATATAAATAAGCGAATTATTTGATTGAACGAGTTCAAACTTTGAGATTTGAGATGTTGAGGAAAATATGATTGGGGGAGATCCCGGGGGAATGGTACGGTGCTGGCAAAATGACTCTTCGAAGGAAAAAAGAATGAGGAAACCCCACGATTTTAATAAAACCATTTTCAGCCACTCTCTAGTGCAAGTTAATAAAAAATCTTTGAAAAAATGAGAAAAAAGTAGTCTAATCGGAAGTAAAAGAATAATAACAACATTTCGAGGGATTCCGAGGGGAAGTCACTGAATATTGAGAATCTTTCTGACTCTTTTCTGACAATGAGTCTTTTTGTTGTAAGTTTGACCTCAAGAAAACAAAGCTTAATAAGTTATATCAAAAGAATAGTGTTTGTTGGTTACTCTAGCTTACAAGGAACTGGTTAGAGTAAAACGGATATATTAGGTTGGTGAATTTAAAACTGTCGGACTTTGAACTAAGATTTATTCAAAATAAAACCATAAATTCATTCCAAATAATTTCGATTATTATTGACGACTTCTGCCCATTTTACAGGCAATTTGCGGATTTCTCTTTCGTAGTAGGATTTTGGTTTGTGTGTGAGACAAGTGTGAGACTTAAAAATGGAGGACTGGAGATGTCCCAGTTTGAGCACTTTCTTCAAAAGAAACCCATTTTGGTGTCAATGGAAAAGTTATAGAGAATCAAAAATTAGGCTTATAGCCAAATTTCCAAACAGATACACTTTGTAGTTTTGCTTAAAATGCAACTTTTGTGAAAATTCGTAGATTTGGCATTTCTTGAAAACGAGGGGTTGAATCGTTCTGAAAATTTGGATATAAGCTTGATTTTTGATTCTCTACAACTTTTCCATTGACACCAAAATGGGCTTCTTTTGAAGAAAGTGCTCAAACTGTCACATATGACAATAGCCCGCAGTTTTCAATTCACCAACCCAATAGCTCATGAAGAAATTGCACCCGCGACTTCTAATCGTAAGCTAGAGTCAAATTGGCCCAAAATTTAGCCAAGTTTACTTCTAAATCAACCAAAATGATGTAAAAATAACAACTTCTAGCATAAATGTTGAGTTTAAACTTTTAAAAAAGTCAACAAAACTTGAGCTACAAGCAAATGATAACCAAAATCGTTCTAGATAGATTCATCTGCAATTTTTTTTGTATTAGACATCAAAGGGAAAAGTGGAGAGCTCATTAGCAAGGCTATCGGACATTTGACTCGTGCCCCGCCCCTTTTTCCATTGGCAATCTAGCTTTGCGATCAAATATCTTGGTGTTATGTTGTCAAATTTAAACAATTCTTCTACCAATCGACAGAGAAGGACTTTGCGCATCTCATGAAATGAATAAAGATTCCACAATTGCCCCGCCCCTTTTGCCATTGGCAATCAACTTTGAGCTCAAATATCTTGGTGTTGTGCTGTCCAATTTAAATAGTTTTTCTACCAATCGGCAGAGAAAGACTTGGCGCATCTAACCATACCCAGAATATTTCAATTGGACAGCCCAACATCAAGATATTTGAGCTCAAAGTTAGATTGCCAATGGCAGAAGAGGCGGGATCAAATGTTCCACAATCATTAGCAACTAGGTTTTAAATGGAATTAGTCGAAAAATTAATATGTACAGGAGATTTAAGAATTTGATTATCTAGCTATTCACTTGAAAACCCAGTCAATAATAAGCAGCTAGGAAGGTCCAGTGAGGACTTAAACTTGAAATAATAATCAGAATGTTTCAGTAGTGAAATGGATCAATAAAAAGTGATTCTTAAATTCCATTCGATGAACGCAAAATCTTCTGCAAATCATTGGCTTGAGTTTCTAAATCTTTTTTTATCTTTCTACATGTAGAAAATGATTCCCTCGAGATTCAATGACACGCACCTTTTCCTACAAAATCTCTTCTAATTACGAGAGACCAAAGTCTTTTCTTTTGCAGATCGTTCACTGGAATTCTCCGTACAAAACGAGAACAAAGAATCGGTATGCGCAATTCTTTCGGAAACGTTATGAGATCTTTGCGACAATGGATGGAGAAATGCTACGGTATCGACGATCGAGGGAATGTTTAGATAAAGATGTTCGTGGTAAAAGCTTTCCAAAGATTTTCTAAAATATGCCGTCTTTGAAAACTACCGTACCTTCAGTTTTGTTTAACCGATCTATTTGGCTAACCGATAAGTCTTTGGACACTTTTTTTCTACTAGTGTTAACCCAATTAAACTATAATTTGCTCCAAACAGAGCACACTTATTGTTCATTTTTCTATTCTTTACGACATTTGAGTCCATTTCCAAGCAAATTCGAGCACAAAAACTCGTTTTTCTTTTGTAAAAACGCGATAGAAAGGTATTGGCTGAAGGATAATTCCGAGAATTTAGCTATATGCCTAACTTTTTGTGCTCTTTCTTATTTCTATTGACATGAGCATAGATTTATTTGAAGGAAAGTGCCTAAATTGGGTCTTCGGGCTGTTTTTTGACTACCCAACTTCGCGTTTCTATAGAAAACCAGCGACAAAAGATTTTTATAAGATTCAAACGTTATTTTTTAAGAAAATAGTAGACTATTCTAATGTAAATCGTAGATTAATCGGTGAATTGATTATTTTTCAATAGCATTTTAAATGAAGTGTTCAAAGACTTATCAACTAACTTAATAATTTTTAACACATCCAAAAGAATTAGACTAAAAGTTAGCGAATAGATCTACAAACAGGATTACAGTAGCTTTTAAAAGCACGATGACGATGACGATGACTTAGACGATGACTCTTAAACAGGTGACGGTAATTTTCCTCAAATACTAGATTGTGTTCATCTCATTAGAAAATAATGGGCTAAACACAAGCTAGTAACGAGATTTTTAGTTAACTCCATCAATTTCCACATATGAATACGAAGAGGATGATGATTGTGGAGAGTTTCGAAGAACTCGAGCGACGATTTACCGCACACAAATGTTCTTGAGGCCAGTCGATGTACAGGTATTTGCAAAAAATGCGTTGTTTTTGTCAATCTTATGTTGATTAATTGGTTAGATATCATTGTTTTGTAAAAGGTACTTCCTAGATTACAATTAAGATTTAAACCTCTCCCATAACAATTCTAATATTTCAGAATTCCTCGGACATCACCCTTGTCACTCAACTCAATATCGAGCGCTTTCCGATCTTCGAGAAACTCATTTCAAACTGGGAAGTGAGTTCAGCCCTCAACTTTTGCTTTCACCAATCATCAGAACTTCATTTTCCCAATTTTACTTTGTTCAGGGTCCAATCTCAGCATCGATTTATGCAAGTGATGCCGAGTCATTTCAATTAACTGAATATTGGAAGCAATCACGAATCCTCTCAACGCGCCGAAATATCGCCATTCACTCAATCTACAAAAGAGGGGTTAGTCAAATAAATCTTTACTCGAGGATTAGAAAGATTAGAAAGGATTTCCGGGAAGAATGATGGTTGATTTGAGGAAGGGAAAGGGTACTGGTAACTAGGAACTTTTGTGACTTTTATCAGTGCTTTTGGAGTTAGATAATCTGGGTGCAAGTTAGAAAATGATGCTAATTTGTCGAAAAAATATAGCCAAATTTAAGGCGAAAATCTCAAGGATTTGAGCATAGTGACGCCAAAAACGATGGCGCTGGCTCACAAGGGAGCGTTCTAAAGAGGTTGTGAGTCTTTTAAATGACGATGAGGTGCAAACGCCTATCGGACATGACGAATCCGATGCTCGGTTTATTTTTCGCCCATGGGCACTGGCTTTCGAGAAAAATGCATGTCAAGGTTTCAGCAATTTTCGGCAAACTCTCACCTCATCTATACCAAAAGAAAGCGTTTGAGAGATCAGGAGAACAAGCACTTTAGAAGCTCCAAAAAATGTTTTGTGGAGGTTTTGTAAAAAAAGCAAAAAGTGGGGCGGCTAGAGGAATCGAACCCGGGAGCAGATTTGACGCTAGTTCGATAGTCTAGCGCCCTATCCCCTAAACCGACACTGGGCCTTCGATTCGGCGCGGAACCCTCTCATAGATGAAATGAGAGTTTGCCGAAGATGGGCGAAAATTTGCTTACACTTTTCTCTAAGGCCAGTGCATGTGGGTAAAAAAATAAAAACAGCATTGGATTCGTCATGTCCGATAGGTGTTTGCGCCTCATCGTCGTTTAAAAGTCTCAGACCCGAATGTTCCCTTGTCACTCGCCCATCACTCCTTCCCCTTTCCCGATTCCAAAAGGGAAACACCATATACCGGAGCGTTTTGCCAGATGACGAGCGATTACATGGCTGCACAAAGAACATCTTGCCAGTGATTATTCTTTAAATGATTCCCAAATGAGATTTAATTTCATTTTTGATTTAATTGAGATTCCCAAATGAGAATTAATGTTAAAAATTTGTATCTCGGGATTCTTAGAGCCATAGAACCTATTGGTGAAGTTTATTTTAACCTTTTTTCCCTAGAAAAGTCTCAAGAAAATCGAATTGGCTTTGGGTTTTGTATATGATGGCCTTTCACAATGAAAAGATCCGGATTTCCGAGAAGAACCAAAACTCCTGCTGAAACAGAAATTACTCAAGTACACAAAGCATTCAAATAATCTCTGCTTTTAATAGATTTGTCCGAAAGAAGGAAGCTTGGATTATTAAAAATCCTTTGCGCATCCCGTTTGTTTTCGAAAGGATTTCCCAATTTCATGCGTTTATCCGCTTTATTGAGAAATATTCCTACTACAGCAAAAACCAATTATCTTACCCAAAGAATCATTGCTCTCTTTTTAATAAAATAAACAGTATTTCGTTGATTTATATGAGATTTCCTAGCTTTCTTGCACTAAATCTAAATTAGCAATAAGAGAAAATTCATATACAGAGTTTTTCTGCTAATCCAAAACAAATCCACACTGATCTTCACAAAACAATTAATTGGCAAAACAACAAAACGGTGAAAAGTTCTTGTTACAATAAAGGGAATAATTGAACACTGGAGATTTCAGCAAATTGCAAGGGTAAAAATTGCAGAGTATCTAGAATTACCGATAATTTTTAGTAATTTATAGTAACAATTTAAAGCGCAAAATCGAAACTAACTGTTCAAATATTTTTAGCGCGTTTTTAATACTTTTTCACAGCGATATTGACTTACAAATTTTTTGATGAATTGGCTTTTTGAAGGAAAGGCCCTTCGGTTTCAAAGTAATCATTATTTTTATGACTTTCATATAAATTTTAATCGAAATTTACAATTTGTTGATATCTTTACCCATTCTGAATAGCCTAACCTTAAGCCTAAGCCTAAGCCTAAGCCTAAGCCTGAGCCTGAGCCTGAGCTGAATACCGAGTATTTGTTAAGAAAACGGCTTCTCAACTATTGGACACCAAAAAATCGCTCACACCTTTGCCAAAAGTGAAGGTGTTCTTTGTGCGGCCACGTAATCGCTTACTATCTGGCAAACTGGTCTGGTGTAGAAGCTTTCCTTTCGAATTCCGTAAAGGATTAAAACTGGAAATTATGCCTGTAGCTGAAGCTGATTTCAAATAGAAGTAACTAGGTAAATCCTCGAATGTTAGCGACGTTCCAGTCCCTGATTTTAGGCATGAACCAACAAAATCTGTGCAAAATTCAAAAGCCACTGAAAAAAGCTCTAGAAACTTATTTGAATTTCTTATTTGATTTCATTTCAGAACTTCTACCCGGTCAATTACCTACGTAATGTGGCAATCAATGGCTCGAAGACTGAATATCTTTTACTTCTTGATGTCGATTTTCTCCCGTCTCAAGGTTGACCAATTACATCATAAAATCAAAAAAACAACGAAAAATCAAAATTCAGGGTCTCATTCGATTCTCCAGAGACACTTGAATGACTTCAAAAAGCAAAATGCACTGATTTTGCCGGCATTTGAGACGGTTAACGGGAATTCTTTTGAATCGATGAATAAGAACGATTTTTTGGAATTGTGGGCGCAAAAAAGGGTCAGACTAATCAGATTCTGAACTTTCCCAAAATCTTCCAAAATCAAAACTTCTCAGGTACGACCGTTTCGGCAAGAGATCTGGCCTCAAGGCCATTTTGCGACCGATTTTGAGAAATGGAAAACAAGTGAAGGTGTTTATGAGGTAAAGGGAAATGAAAATCAAATGGAGATTAGTTGAAATTTTGGGCTAAAATATTAGGAATGTTAAGAATCAGACTTATTCAGCCAGAGATTTTGCTCGTTACACGCACGAATCCATCAGACTAAAGCTCACTTGTATATCTCTCGATCAATTTATTGTGTTAAGATAATACTTTCGTAGAAATTGAATGAATGTGTCTTTTTAAAAAAAAGTGCTTTTTTAGATCTCCTATCAACACGACTTCGAACCGTACTTCTTGATACGAAAATCGGAGTGTCCGCCATTTGACGAAAGATTTGTCGGCTTCGGGTGGAACAAAGTCGCGCATTCGATGGTGTTGAACAAAATGGGGTAAGGATGAATTGAAAGAAGTTGTTCTACTAAAATCTTTGATTAACTTTTGCTTCATTTGAGCAACACACCCTTTCTGGTGTACCACGATTTCCATTTTTTAAAACAATTCACAGAGCAGCATACAAAAACAGCTCAATAAAGTGGGTTTTGTTGCAATAGCTAGTTTTCCAAAAGGTGGCGAATTTTTATGAAAACTACCGTAGTTTTTTTGCCTCTATCTTTTACTTATAACTCTATAAGGATGCAAAAAAATGCCAAAAGAAATCGAGTGGATGAAACTAGATTTTTGAAAGTGGCAAAAAAGCCGATTTTTCATCATTTTTCAATCATTTTGTTCTAAGTGTTGGTTAATAATAAAAATATGTGTTATATATATCAAAAAATCACCCATTCTCTCTACTTTAATTTGATACCAAAGCGCGCAGAAACCAATGCCTGCGTGCCGAGATATTAGCGTTTGTTTGAGAGTAAACTTTGACTACACAACGCTCCTATAAAGGGCTCTCCTATTAGAATATTTACAGTATGCCATTGATTTAAAGTTATCAGTTCAAATCATGAAACTTTCAGATACACGTTCCGCGTGCTTCCCGATGTTTTCCTCCTTCATTTCGATCATCCGCCATCAATGGAAATGCTCAAATTTCGCACCTCTCCCATTTATCGAAAATGCATGAAAATGCTCAAAGGGGAATTCGTACGTGATCTCATTGAAACGGGTAATTTTTGAGATGATTTTTCTGTGATTTTTGATTTTTTGGAACCTTTCTTTTAATAATAAACATTTTATTTCGTTCAAAACATAATTTCGACACGTAAAAAATAAGATTGTAGGGATTGAGAGTAAACTTAGACTACACGACGCTCCTATAAAGGGATGTCTAGTTTTTGAATTTTGTAGTGTATCTAGAAATGCAAAAACAAAAGTTTAGTCTAAAAGATATTGTGTGAAAAAAAACTTGAAATGCTCACCACAAGCAAAACGTTTTTGATAGTCGATAGCTTTAGCAATGCACCACGTCGCTAGTTGACTCCGTTGCGAAAAATGGACTTGTGGAGTGTTGATTGTGCGGAGAGTTGATGGGACTGAGGGTGGAATGAGAGTGGTGGGATATTTAGCAGCTTTATTTAAATAAATCTAGCACAAATACTGATCTAACAATAAAATAATAATCAATGGTTCAGTGGTTAAACAATATATATGTCGTAGCCGTTTACGAAATTCAGCTGCTAACGAATAACGGCTAGCCGTTAACGAATGTAATTTTTCGCTAGCCGCTAACGAATCGAACGATGCAAAAAAAGAAAAAAATTGATTTTGAAGCGAGTTATTAAAAGTTGTCAAAATGCCCCTTTGCTGAAATTGGGTCCACCGGGAGGACTTCTCCCCATTGTTATCAGAGATTTCGAACTCATTTTCTTTCTGCTTTTTTTACTATTCTTTGGTTTTATTATACATAATCATTTGTTTTTTTCAGAATGAATTCATTTCTCAACCAATTTGATGCGTATCAAGTCTTGAAAAAGCGAACGCATATACTAACGACGAAAAAATACGATGAAATTGTGAACAGATTGACAACAATGTCAAGTGAAAGTGAAAGCGAGAAACGGAAGCGAACGACAGAAGAGGCAAATTGGGCACGTCGTTACTCGATTCAATGTATTGAGCAATCAACGATACTCTACAATCATGGGGACAAAGGAGCGAACGAACAACCAAAAGGAGTCGTCAAGAAAGAGGAACTCTTCGATGTTTTGACGTCAACTCACAAAAGATTAGAACACGCCGGCCGGGATCTGATGTAGAAAGAACTGCGAGGATCATGGTATCTCAAAGGAAATGCTCGAGATTTTTATCAAACTTTGCCCGGAATGTGAATTAAAGAAGGTGACGCCAAAAAAGGAGTTGTTGTGAAGCCGATCATAACGAAGAAGCAAAATGAACGCTGCCAAGTCGACTTAATTGATCTTCAATCGGTTCCGCATGCATTTTCGTTGATTTTTTGTTTTTTATAAACGTTATTATGTTATACATGGTAAATGTTATAAATTTTATTTTACTTGTTGTGATTAGTTTGCTGATTTGCGTTTTGCATAAATAGTTTGAAATCAAAAACTCATCGAGCAAAAACTCATCATTTGAATCGAGCCATGTTCGCGGAAGCCGATTACAAATTGTACACGTTGCGTTTGTTGCGAAAAAATTTCATTCGTAATCGGCTAGCCGTTAACGAATCATTCGTAATCGGCTAGCCGTTAACGAATCATTCGTTAGCGGCTGAATTTCGTAAACGGCTGCGACATATAAAGAAGTGATCAAAAACGATATCTCTACATACGATCTAAACACAATGGAAAAGCGAGAACGAAAATCAGGGAGACAAAATGCGAGAAATCATAAATTGTGATGTAAAAAGTGAATAAATCACAGAAAATCTCTGACTTTTCTGCACAGAACTCAAGTAGAGGGACCTAAAACTTGGAAACCAGATATCTTGCGTTACAGGCCCCGAGAGTAAACCTGAAAACGGATTCAGAATCAGCGCAGTCGATTCTATAAGGTGGAGTTGGTCTCGTTTTTCAAAGGTCACGGGTAGTAAGAGGATTTAAAGCTTACTGTTAGCTTCATAGCTTCATAAAAGGCTAGCTACAATAATATTTCTGGATCCTTGGCTATTTGATCCTTGATCCATCAAGTCTTATAGGGTGGATCAAATGGTATGTAATGCATTGTATTTCCGGCGAACAATGTAGCGATAACGGTTTGATGGGTTTTTTGTTTTGATCAAGTGCTCTGGATTTCTGTAGTTAGACTTTAAATGAGAAGGTGAAAAAGTATTCAAAGGTAAGCACTTGTTTCGAAAATTCTAGCATCTACTTCTCAGAAATCCTTTTTTCTCCTCAAAACTATGCGATCTCTCCCCAAAAGTTTACCCAAAGCCAACTAGCTGTCATCGAGCGCTCACGTAAAAGGAAAACCCCTTTTTTGAGGGAAAATGAGCCCATTTCTTTTCCCAAAAGCCCAAATGAAAAACTTATCCTATATATTAATTATTTTATTCGAATATCTAAATTTTTTGAACGCTGAAAACGGTACTCTAATTTTACTCAAAACCGAAATTTCTTTTTTTTCAGCACTACCCGAAGAATCATGTTCTTACGGTGAGCGTTGTGTTGGTGACTCTGCGTGTATCGGTAAAAATGAAATTCGAGATTTCTCTTTGCATCTCATTAATTTTTAGACGGCATTTGTTTATGTGTTGAGGGAATGAAGAAGTTGGCTGCTCAATGTGTTGAACCGGTAAATTTTCTGCGGATTTGTTCGGCAAAGGCTCAAGCCAAGGTCAAGATCTTGGCATAGCTTCTGGCTTTGTCCTAACTTTACTGCGGCTTGATCGCTCACAAGCTCTTGGATCCTTCAGAAACCAGGCCAGAACGCGCTGTTTGGTTTGCCACAGCCCTGGTCCACAAGTCTTTAATTCAGCCAGAAGCCAGACCTAAACGTAACTCCTGACCTAGTCCAGTTCACTTTTAGGTTGTGCTTGAGTTAGCGGAAAGGATAGCTTTAACCACATCCACTGTTGCACCAGAGAAAGCCAGAGCAACGACTACAACTCCGAAACGTCAATCCACTCCAGCGCCAACAATCGCACCAATCTATTGGCCAGATAAAAGTAAAGCATTTTTATTTAAAGATTTTAAATATCTGCTTAGAAAGGCCCATCATTGGACTAGCTGGTGGGATTTGTGGTGTTGGCGGGGTGAGTCTAAATTGTAAGTAGAAAACTAATTGTCTTACAGTCTTCTTGGCAAGTTAAGGTACCGGATAGCTCAGTGATTAGAGCAATTGCCCGGAAGAAAGCAAAAGGTCGGAGCTCAATCTCCTCTCAATCTAGTTTTGCTACCACTTCCTTCACTTCTTTATTTCAGGTTTGTCGATCGATGACAACTTGCCAAGAAAACATTTGTGTCTGCTTTTGGGGCTTCAAGGCGGCTTTCGGTGAATGCGTTCGTGATCATCATTTTGGTGAGTGAACTGTAGTGAATTGTGCGTAGAAAAACTGCAATCAACGCTCTTACTAGGGAAGAGTACTAGCTGACCAACTAGGGAAGAGTACTAGCTGACCAACTAGGGAAGAGTACTAGGTGACCAACTAGGGAAGAGTACTAGGTCACCGTGGCGGCGCGTATATAAGGCGGCGCTTATATTAAATATACACTTTCTTCGCCTACCACCTCACTCGAGACCCCATCTGATACAAAATCAAACGGGGAAACCGAATCTGTAATCAAAATCTGCTGAATCGCTCGCAAACGCGAGATTTCTGGCATCGAAGTTTTTGCTTTACACTCTTGAGTTTGCGCTTCCATTTCAACGGTGGTCGTGGTGTAGCGGGTAGTGTGCTTGTCTACGGAACGGATGGAATTATTGTAGCGAGTTCGAGTCCCCTACTTAACAAACTTCTCATTTTATTTTCCATAAAGATATTTTTGATTTTCACAAAATCTTATACTATTTTGCTTTATTTATAAATTAAAACAAAATAGAATGCCTGCTTTAATGCCAGAAATCTCGCGTTTGCGAGCTATTCAGCAGTGAGATGGACTCACGGAAAACCTAGTGAGTTTGAACTCACAGCAAATCTAGTGAGTTTTCGATGACAGATTCAGATTCCGCATTCGATTTTCTATAGGCTTTTTATTTTCTCGTTTCGAAATTCCACGGTGACCCAGTACTCTTCTCTATTTAGGGTTTTGTTCTCTCTTGAAACTGATAATTTGATAAAAATAGTAATTGTAATTGAATTTTGTAATTTTGTAATTGAAAAAAACCCGTTGCCTTATTTAATTTCAAAAATTCAATACCAAAAACTTGTTGTCAAAACAAGGCTTTCATTGGGCTTTCATTCAAACGGCCGATTTCAGTGTCATTGAATATTGAGCTTTTCATTGAATCGAGCTAATTAAATGGAAACTGATGGTTTGATTAGTTTTCTAGAACTAATCAAACCTGTCTTTTTTCAACCTTGTCAACCTTGTCTTTTGCTTTTATGATGATTCTGAACGATTCCAGAAAGCCCTTCCCTTCTCTCACTCATCTTGCAACACCCTCAAATCGAGTGAAACAAGTTATCTTCAAAATCCAAAACAAAATGTATTTATTAACCTGTACGACAAAACAAATACACTAAAATGCGCAAAATCTATGGGATTCAGAGTAAAATTTGGCGCTCAGCCAAGGCTAACAACAAGGGTTTTGGATTGAGCATGGGAAAATCTCTCACAATAGGAAAATCGATCAGGCACCAATGATTGGGAGAACACAGATAAAAGAAAAAAAAAAGACTTGAGAATCAAGAATTAAATTACAATAGAAAATTTGAAGACACAAGATTTGAGAGTTTGAAAAGACTCACAGGTTTTGACTAAAAGTACCCTTTTTGAACGAAAGAAGTCTTCACGAAAAAAGCTAAAAAAGATTTTTTTGAAATCTCGTCGATGAATAAAACAATTTGCTATAAAGCGTACAAAAAGTTCAAAAGAATTTGAAAATTTGCAAATTTGAGTTTGAATTTGTTGAGCTCCGGAAAATGAGATTGAAACTTGTCAATTGGAAGCTGAAAAGTGTTGATTAGGATAACGTACAATGTTTCCACAGTCACTTTCCTTTCATAGTCACTTTTTAAATCCATCTATCTAATTGTATTAGACTTTTTAGAAAGTCTTTTCATTTCTTTTTCCTACTTCTGTTGAAAAATAACGAATTCATCAATTAAACTATAGTTTCCTCTAAATAAAAGGTGTTTATTGATCAATTTCCCATCTTTTTTAAGTCAATTTTGGTTCATTTTCAAGCAAATTCGAGAGTGAAACACATGGCTTTCGTAAAAATCTATAAAAATCTCTACGAAGAAATTGACTGAATGTATTTCGCTGAAAACTTGGCTAGATACCAAACTTTTTGTGCTCTATCTTTTATTTATTGACACGAAGATATGTTTCCTACAACCGATAACAAGCTCTTGGATCCTTCAGAAACCAGACCAGAACGCTCTATCTGGCTTGCCACAGCCCTGATGCACAAGTTCCTAATTCAGCCAGAAGCCAGACCTAGAGTGACCTAGTCCAGCTCACTTTTAGGTTGTGCTTGAGCTAGCGGAAAGGATAGCTTTACTCTCGATTTCAAATGTCTAAACCGCATCATCGAGCCATTGCTCTTCTTGACTACCCGACTTCACGCTTCCAAAAAAATGCAGACATAAGACATTTTAAACCCGTTTTAATGTCATTTTGCAGAAAAATGATTGACCTTTCTAATGAAAGAAACCGTAGTTTAATTGGTGCATTTGTTGGTTTTAAACGGAAGTAAAAAAAGGAACGAAAAGACTTTCTGAACACCTTAAGATCTTAACTTATTGTTAGTGAAAGATCTTGTAACCTATTACAGTAGGCTCTTGATTTAACGATTCGTGCATTTGTTGGTTTTAAACGGAAGTATACAATATCTAATTCTATCCGACTTTGGTTTCACTTTCATTATCCATTATCCATTATCCATTTTCCATTATCCATTATCCATTTCTCATTTACCTTAATTGTATAACCTCTCGATCTCTTCTTTGAATTCTTTTTCGATATTTTTCCTCTTCAACTTGAGTGCTTCTGTCAGAAGACCAGATGCAGGCGTCCAAGGTTCATGACAAAGGAAAATCTTCTGTGGGATCTCCACTCGTTCGAGTTTACCTGAAAAATTGGCACATAAAAGAATAATAAGCTTTCAATTAGATTATTGCTCAATTTCAAAGATTTAAGTAAATTTACGATTAGTCGTTTTACCTTTAGAATCTTTTTGAAGCTCATCTAAGACGGCCTTGATCACAACCGGATTGAGGCACACCTTCTCCCAGTCATCCACGTTCTCGATTCCGTTCTGAAATTTCCCAGTCTTTAATCTTTATATTAATATCTTAAAATCAAGTCTAACTATTGAAATTCCAGTTTCACTACCTTTTTGGCTAACTCGGAGACATTTTTCTGATTTGGAACAACGAGAGCGATGACGTAGGCTTTATTCGAGTCTCCATGCACACAAATGTTGTCGATAATCGGATTCGTCAGCAAGTTTGTCTCAACCTTTCCAAGTGAAATGTACTCTCCATGTGAAAGTTTCAAGAGATCCTTCTTTCTGTCTAAAAGAAAGCTTTCAGAGTGCTGGGTTTTTCTCAACTAACCAATGATTTTCAGCGATCCATCGCCTCGGAACTCTCCAATGTCTCCGGTGGCAAAATATCGGACTCCATTTCGCACCAAGAAATCCTCCTTTGTCTTCTCGGGATTTTTGAAGTAACCAAGAGCCACGTGATCTCCACCAACAAGAATCTGAAATCAAAAATTGGTTCAACCAAATGTGTCCAAGTAAACGTTAATCTTGACAGATTTTCTGTCACTTTCAGGGTTGGATTGTTCAAAGTCAGGTCCAAGTCTGGTTTCTGACTGTTGTAGGCCTTTTTCTAGGGAACTGTTGTAGCCCAGACAGGCAAGACCGACTTTTGGCTTGATTTTGCCCTTCTTTACCATTTGCCTGGCCCCGATCCTAGATCTGCTTAGAATTCAAACCGGGCTTAGGTCATACAGAGTGCATGAAAAGTTCTGTCCCCTCTCCAAGAATCATTTGTACGACTCGAGCCAAGGAAGATAGAGAAAAACGGAAGATGGAGAAAAAGAAAGATAGAGAAAAATTAGAAAATTAGAAAATTTTGACGATTTTTACTCTAGAAATGCTTCTTCAGAGAAAGATTTTTGTTTTGAAAATCCGTTTTTTTGGTTGAATTGCTCACGGACCCTCCTGGTTTCTTTGACATTCTGATGCGGCCAAAAATTTGAACGTTGCTTAAAAATCTGACCGTAAAATGGTCAGTTTTAGTTTTTTTCTATTTGAGCTTGAGTGCTTCTGTCAAAAGACAAAAGGTTTAAAAAAGTTGCTCTTATTTCGGGTTTTTCACATTTAAAATCAATAGCATTAAAGATGGTACCGCGACAACAAAAAAAGTAAATGAATTCCGCAAGTAATCTAGCTAAAAAGCTAAACAGATTTTCGAAACAAAAACATTTTTATGAAGAAGCTTTTCTAGAGTAAAAATAGTCAAAGATTTCGAATTTAGTACTCGTTTGTCTCTATTTTATTTGATTTTGTCTGAAGAGACGACAATCTTTGGAGAGGGAACAGAACTTTTCAGGCTAGAATATCCCTAATCACTTTAGCTCAGCTCTAAGCCTAAGCCTGAGCCTTAGGCTGTAGATTTAGGCTAGAAAACCCCTGATCACTTTAACTCACCTCTCCTTGTGGTGTCTCATTCTTTGGGGAATAGCCGGCCTCTTCCCAAGGCTCGAGGATGATTTGGGCGCATCGGAGTGGTGGCCCAACGGTGCCTGTTGAGAGATCGTGCACTAAAATTTGTGTGGATGAATGCATTTGATCAATTGCTGAGAATTCGTTTACAGTCTCTTATAGCTGAACTTTATGGCAAACAGAAAATTAGACTCACAATCAGCAATGGTCGCTCCACCGCAAGTCTCCGTCAATCCGTAGCCTTGAATCACAGGGCAACAGAAGCAAATGTTCATGAATCTAAACGAAAAGATTGATATTTTTATCTTGTATTCGATTCATATAGTTAATATTCTTTACAAAATCCCACCTCTGAGTCTCCGGTGACAATGGAGCGCCTCCAGAAAGAACAATCCTCAACTCTCCACCCAAAATCTTCCCGATCTTGTTGAAGACCAATCTGGAATTGAAATTTAATTGTTCAGGAGTTTGTGCTTGCTTAAGTTTGAAATATTAAGTAGAAATAACTACTGTAAATACTGTAATAGTACCCCACCCCCATAACGACGGTGCGGAGTGTTGCGTAGTTTAGCTTTGAACGAGTTTTTCTCGACACTGGTTTATGCTACAATGCGCGCTTAGGTATCAAAAAATAGCCCTGAATTTCAGCTATTTTTTGATACCAAAGACGCATTTTTTGAAAGTACGGGCGCTTTGAAAAGAATGAAATACTAAAAAACTTTTGCGACTACGTGACTGTACGAGGGGGGCTACTATTACAGTATTTACGGTAGGCTTTTTTTCAGCAAGAGAATCAAGAACGCCTGTTCTCTTTTTCTCACTTGTTGAGCAAGAGAGTCTTGTATCCTTCCTCGTATCGAGCTCGTTTTCTCTCGTACATGCACTTGAACACTTCCTAAATTGCATTTAGTTTTAAAAATCTATTTTTATTGCTTTTTCAATAAGTTGAATCGAACTTACCCTGAAAAGTGGTGATCGAGAGTTGACATCATCAACGACAGCTTTGTAGATTTTGTCCATCACAGCCTAAAATGGAAAGTTAAGAATTTCACGGACTTTCAACTAGCCGAACTATTTAAGCTTATGTTTAGAAAGACTTACTGGGACACAAGCCATTAAAGTTGGTTTTAAAACGGTCGTATCTCCCTTGTGCCCTTTTGGGATTTTCGGTGCCCGATCGAAGAGCGTTTGAGCGGATGAGTAGCCGATTTTTGTGCCCTAAAGTATTTTTTGGTTCGCCTTTTTGAAATTTTCGTTTAGAAATAAATAATTAGCTGATAAAAGTGTGACTTGCTTTAAATAAAAAGCTTAACTATTACATTTAGCTAATTTTTAGGTAAATTTGAAGCTTTGAAGCAAATCCAAACGGGAATTCTTGTTTTTTTTGCTAAAATCCTTATAATGGACTTTCCGGACAAACTGATAGCTTTGTTTTGAGCTTTCCAAAACCGATTTTCTTATTTTCCAACAATAAACTAACCTTGCAAATACAAACACACTCAGCGCACACCTCCAAAATGTGGGCAAGGGGCAAGTAGCCAATGTAGGTGTCGTTATATCTGAAATTGAGAAATAGTCTTTGAATCAAGATTTTAGTAATCAGATAATTGATAAGGATAGGGTTTAAATCATAAAAAGAAGTGCAAAATCTTCGAAAGTGCTGCCAAAAAATCTCAAAAGAAAAGGAAAAAAAAACGAAAAATGGTTGGTTGTCTGTTTTGTGGTCAAGGAAAGTTTTTAACAAATCAGGAAATTCAGTACTTGTCTAACAAGTCTACTTTATCTAACAAGTACTTGATTCAAAATAAATTTGGTTCTGTATCCAAACTTTGAATGCAGTTAACCCATCAACACCTCTTATTTATTTCAAACTTACACTAATGTGTTGTCAGTGAGCATGGAAATTCGATAATATCTTTAACTATCGGCTAATTGTAATTGGAATAGAGTTTTTCAACTTTAAAAGCTTGTCGAACAGAAAAAGAGGAGGTGGAGGGACCACAAAAACGACACCAATCTTTTCAAAACCTGAGTTTGAATAACTTACGCAAGACTAGGATTCAATCTATAATTGTGTTTGATAAGTTTTCGATCTCAAACTCACTCCACAGTTAGATCATATCCCTGGCCGGCCGTAGCTGTGACAATATTTCGATGTGCCAACATGACTCCTTTTGGATTTCCGGTGGTTCCCGATGTGTACATGATCATAGCGATATCGTCAAGCGTTGGATTGTTCTCTTTGGCTAAAATAAACTTTAATTATCCTTTCCTTAACTGAAAGTGTGTTAATCTTGATAACTATTTTACTCCAAAACGCTACCTGCCACAAAATTTGCGTCTCCTTTGTTGAGCAGATCGGTGAACGAGATCAACTAAACGAATTTTTTCAGATTATATTCAAATTATTAACCAGTTAATCAACGCTACACTTTCTAATATCACAGTCCAAGCAGCTTCTCTTTTTACCTCAGCTCCATCACTTTTCTTCTTCTCGTTCTTCTGCGATTGATCGAATGATTCATAGTAAACGATTGTGGACAATTTTGCTCCATTCTTCATCGCTTTCAAGACCTAAAATGAAATTTTGCATTAAAATGAGAGTATAATTACGATTGGTAAAAGGGATTCGGTGGTGAAGATGGTCGTGGCTTCGACTTCATTGAGAGCAAAGCATACTGCGTCCTCTCCAAGAGTGGCATAAACAGTAGTAACTAAACAAAGCATTAACAAATCATCATTCAATCTGAACACTATTTATCCTATTTGATCCTAAATTCTTGCAATCTATACTTACTTGGGAAATTCATCTTGAAGCAAGCCAAAGCTGTAGTCATCCATTCCTCGCGAGTCTCAGCGAAGATCACAACTGGATTCTTTGGTTTCAGACCGAGTTTCTTTAAAGCACTGAAAACTTTTGATAAACACATTTTCTGAAATCTTTTTTGTTTGTTCTAATGTTTTTTTACAATTTAAAGTACTGCAAAGTCTTTTTAAACCCCATTTTTACATTGGGAATCGAACTCACGACACAAGCTAAACACACTAGCCACTCATTTATCAGTATTGTATTTAAATTTGCCTCTTTACGTCAATTTTGAGGTTGAAGGATAATAAATCTAGCATTTTACATTCTGTAAGGATATTAGATCTGGTTTTTTACAATAAGTTTAAGCCATTTAAGCCAGTTCAATTTACCTTGCAATCAGCGTCACTCGTTCGTTGACTTGGATAAATGAACGCCAGTGGTAGTTGCCCATTTCCCACTGAAAATTATAAAATCTACTTCTTTATATAGGGTGTTCAATATTTATGAAGTTTTATGAACTATTTATGAAGACTTTTGAGCTCGCAGATCGTTTAGTGCCCGCAAAATTGGTTTATGAAAAAAATCGTTAAGAAAGCAGTTGGAACAAGCTCGATTTTCTAGATTATTTTTACATTTTACTAAATTTGATATTTCAAAAATCGATTCTTTGGAGTTCGATCACCAGATTTCACCAATTTCACCAAGATCCCAGTTTTTCTTGTTTAACAATGAGAAAGTCTTCATTATTTAACAGTTTTTGAATCTACGGGACATTAAAAATGCTAGAATCACATTTCAATTTTGGTTCTTTTAAGAAATCTTAACGAGAGTTTGTGAAAAACTCAATTTATCCAACTTTCCAGAGGCATTTCTAGGCAAACAACAGCGCAAAAGACAATAATTTTTAAAAACTAACTGAAAGTTGTTAAGTATGTTCCCTTTTGATCATTAAACTTGTACAAAATAAGCTCTAAACCTAGTAATCTACTCCATAAATATTGAATACTCTGTAAAATCCATAATTTTGTTTTAGCAAAGCTTGATTTAACTAAATGTCTATAAAAATTTAATTAACAAAACGATATTGATTGGTAAAGTTTATCCGTTTCTTCACTATTTTTTCTTTTGTTCTTTCTTTGTCACAAAGATTATGCAGCTAGATTTTAAAATTCTCACCTTTTCAAATACTTTCCCAGTGTCTTGCTTTTCTTTTGTAATTTTGAGTACTTCACGTGTCCCCATGCAAGGATGGTCGCCATGAACACTGAAAACGAAAATGAATAATTCGATAAACTTGCTTGAAAATGGATAGACTTTGCAAACGTTTCAGGAAGTTTTTCGAATTCTCACTCAAAGAAACGCTCACCGAACAGCCTCATCCCAGATCTGTCCAAGAGTTTTATCCGCTTTGATCAACTTTCCGTTCTCGAGATCATCGTGAATCCATGGACTGGCTGGGTTGCCTTCTTTGATGGGCTTCGACTGAAATTAAGAAATGACTTTAGAATAGCATATTTTAACAAAGAGTTGTTTTCACTAAAGCTTACTATTCTGGATTTAATCTTCAAATCTGTATTTAATCATTGTAAAGGTAAACACGCTAAAGTTTATCGAAGTAAAAGTATTCAGGCATTAGGCTGAATACTATTAGGCTGTCCAGAAAGTCTTTTCTTCTTTTTTTTTTTTGGGGAAATTATTATTGTGCACTATTACTATGTTTTCTAAATAAAAATTGTTTTTTGGTCAATTTCCCATCTTTTTAAGTCAATTTTGGTTCCTTTCAAGCAATTCGGGGGGAAACCCCTTTTTTTTAAAAATCTATGAAAACCTCTACGAAGAAATTGGCTGAATGAATTTCTTTGAAAACTTGGCTGATACCAAAACTTTTTGTGCTCTATCTTTTATTTATTGACACATATATCCTTATCCTTAGCTAAAATGTCTAAACCGCATCATCGAGCCATCGCCCTTCTTGACTACCTGACTTCACGTTCCCAAAAAAAATGCAAACATTTTAAACCCGTTTTAATGTTGGCCCTTCTAAAAAAAGCCAAAAAAGCCAAAAAAATAATTGGCCTTTCTAATGGAATAACCCGTAGTTCAATCCGTGCATTTGTTGGTTTTAAACGGAAGTAAAAAAAGGAACGAAAAGACATTCTGAACACCTTAAGATCTTAACTTATTGTTAGTGAAAGATCTTGTAGCCTATTACAGTAGACTCTCGTTTTAACGATTCGTACGGGACCAAAAATTCGATTTAACGATTCTAAAGTTTGTTCCAAATTTCGCGCGCCGAAACGGCCAATGATTGCGTTTAGCTGGGCAAGAAATCTAGGGCCAGATTTAGAATTTCAAAATCGTTGTATCGAGAGTTGTAAATGCTTCCAACCTGGCCAAAAATTTTACCCAAAAATTGAGCTTTCCTAAAATGGAATTTCTCTGATTCAGATCAGTCTATTACAGGCTTCTGGCTTCTGGCTTCTGGCTTTACCTGACTTTACTGCAATCTTGGCTCACAAAAAGTTTCTAGATTCACCAGAAGCCAGTTCCAGAATCAAGCCTAGGGTTTGTGGACTTCCTGGACTGCTCAATGTGATCAAATCATGGTTTTCCTTGTGCCACTTCTGGCCTGTACCTTATTAGGTTCGCAAACCAGGTTAAATCAGGTTCCCAAATCAGGTTAAACTCTTTCAAAATTGCAAAAGAATGGTGAACTTCCTTTTCTTTTTTACTTCTTTTCTATAGCTTGTATCATTAGAGGAAAGAAGAGGTGATCACCCCACCCAGAGCCTCCTTTTTCCCTTTCCCATCCCTTTCCAATCGATGCTTGTTTACTAGGGTACACTCGTTTTCCCCTTTCACTCCACTTTTTTGTGAGTGCACACGTGTTATTGTTTGTGCAGACACTAACTTCAACCATTTTCCACACTCAGAAAAAGGGCAGTTACGTTGTGTGATTGATTTGTTTCATTTAAAGTTTTCAAGTCAACAGCCTAAATAAGGAAACCGAACCTTTGTCCTCTCGGATTTCTTCTTTTTCGCCTCGGGATTCGAGAAAAGTCGATGTGGTACATAGGTGATCACATCGTAGACAAAGAAAACGGCTCTAGAAATGGATGGGAATTGCATAGAATGAAAGATATAAAAAATTAAAGTATATTTAAATGAAAATATCAATCTAAAGTTACAAGGAATTTAACGAGATAGATTTTACTAATCAACTGTGGCTTTGTAATCTTAATTTTGGATTCTGTAGTCTAATGCAGCTAACGTAAGACCAATTAAAAGGAAATCTAAGACCAATTAAAAGGAAATTAACTTTTCCGGGCCAGGTCAAAAGAATGGCTAGAGGCGGGACCATCCTGGGCTGATCTGAACAGTTTCTGGGCTTGCCAAACCAGCCCTGGATCTAACCATTCCCGACCTGGCCCAACCTGGCTTACTAGGGAACCCTTTGAAATTACATTTCAGGAGCGATCTGATTCCGAGGTGCGAAGACCCCCTGGTTAACTTTAGAACACTTGAAAATCAATTTTTATGTCTTAATAAAAAAGCAAAAAAGTTTTGCAGCGAGAGGATTTGAACCAAGACAAAAAGCGCGAGGCGCTAGCATACTATCGACTAGGTTACCGAGGCACAGCGATGAATCGGCGCCAAAGCTTTAAGTCGGCTAGCTTGCTGTTTGGCGAAATTGACCGAAACTTTGAAGGCTTATATCTCGAAAACGGCTTATGATAAGTAGGATTTGGAAGCAGTTTCGGGACGCCCTTAACCAGGGGCTGTTAACCAGGGCCCTTAACCGCGGAATCACATCGCTCCTGAAATCGAAATTCAAAGAGTTCTCTGGTTAGTCCTTGAACTTGGACTGCTTGGATCATTCTTTTTTGTATAATAGCTTAATCTCGAAATACTTGTAAGAACTTCCAATACAATCAAAGAGAATCAAAGGCCAAACTCCAAATTGTGGCTAAGGTTATCTATCGAACAGCTTCAACTAGTAAAAACAGCTTTTAGTTTTAGCTAGAACTGCTCTAAACTAAAAATGGTAACACTGATATCAGTTGAATGTAGCAATAGCAGCAATAGCTGCCTTCGTCAGCTCTTGCAGAGTAGTAAAACTCACTTCAACACTCCAATCATAATCTTGGTGTAGAATGGTGGATGATCCTCAATATCCTCAACAATCGAGTCTCGTCTCGCCAACGAATGCTTTCTCGCTAAATGTGAATGCGGTCCGTCGTGCATTTTTCCTTTTTTTTTCAATCTCGCGCCTTTGTTTCTCTAATTCTCCTCAAGATTGGTCGCTTTTCCCTCACCGATATGGATCTTGATTTGAAGTCGTCTAAATTTCGTTCGACATTTCAGAAAAAAACAAAAAACACAAAATGGTCTGACCGAGAACAGCTGAAGGTGGCACCACCCAATCGTACAAAATATTGAAAAGATTTTTGGAATACAAAAAGAAGTTTTGGCTTTGATTGGAGAGATTATCAAGACGATTATCAGAAAGATCTGACAGAAAGATGGAATGATGATTTAGAGACGAAAAAGAGCAATTTGAGGACTTTTTGAGGCACTTTAGTGAGTCAAAAAAAGTAAAAAGGATTGGAAATTGTTTTTCTAGGAAATTATAAAGTTTGGAATTAAGTTTAATATAAGATTTCAAAAACGACAACGATTTAAACGTTGAATGAGTAAATTGAGCACTGCTGGCTTCAATGCACACAAAGAATGGGAATGGAATAATGTGGACAGTTGATTAACTGAATATTCTTTAATATTTGTTAGACTTATGGTAAAGTTGGCTAGCTATTGGGGGGGTTTTTTTTTTTTTTTTTTTTTTTTTTTTTTTTTTTTTTTTTTTTTTTTTTTTTTTTTTCGGCGCCGCTCTTCTCCCCCCTTAAGCTATAAATAACTGTATGAAGGTAGAGGAAGCTAGGAGAGGAGAATTAACAATTTCCAAGATCAGGAATTGTTTGGTTTTTCAATCGAGAGAAAAATTGAAAAGTGAAAAATGAATAATAGCTTGTGCGCTGGATTTCAATAAGTTTTAGAGTCCTTTAATAAGCTTTTTTTGGCTATAAATAAGCTTTAATAAGCTATTCAAGTACGAAACCCGCGCAGAAATAGGCATTGATTGGATCACAGCTCAAAATGAATTAAAACCAATTGATATTTTACTAACTAACAAATACTTCTACTAAAAGTAATACTAGATTGGTGAGAGCTGAATATATATTGAAATCGATAGCAAAATAGACAGATTCCCGTATTGTCTGACCAATACATAGGGCATCGTTCATTCTCTTTCCCTTTCCTTTTCCTTTCCCATTTTGTGGGGTGATTGGGTGTTTATTTGGTTTGATGCCAATAACAAAAATAGATTTCAGTCGAAAAAAAAAGCGAAATGCTTGCTTGTATCAAAAGAAAGAACACTTTGGAATGAGTCACGAGGAAATGAAATAAAATTTGATGTCTCAACTTATCGGGAATGAACTGGGAAAGACGATGAAACATTATTTTTAGTTATTAGTCAAGATGTATTGAAGTTGATTTCGAAATTAGGGGTAGGCTAATTTCCGCCCTTCTATTTGCGCAACAGGGTCATTTGTGCAACTGGATCGTTTGCGCAACTCGCCATAACTTTTTTCTAAGTGGACCAATCTTTATGATGTCGGTTTCATTTTGTTGCACTTATTGAGATCTTCAAAATGAAACCAAAAACATATTGTGTCACTTAGAAAAAAGTTATGGTGAGTTGCGCAAAGATCTAGTTGCGCAAAAGATTTGACGCAAAGTAGCCACCCCCGAAAAATTGAAACGAAAATGAAAGTGGTTGCAAAATAATTATGTTCTCCTTTAAATACGCAAGCAAAAAGATAGTGCATTTTAGAATGTCATTATCCAAAAATAATTTGATCCATGAAGAATTATTTGTTAAAAATTATCGAAATAATTATTATTCCAAGATCAATAGTCTCTAGTACTTAAAGGGTTTAAACCACATAGAAAATAATTTGGATCTTTTAGATAATAATAGATAAGATATTCAGCTTCTAAATTGAAAATTTGCTGCGAAAAACGCTTGCCTAAATACAAATTTAACTGGCTTCGCCACTCTTTTTAAGATATTCATTTAATCAGCTGAATGGATAACTCGTGTTTCAATTGAATAATTGAATATCTTCAAAAACAGCGATTCGCAAGGTATCTAAAAGATTCAAGAATCTAAAAACGCACATAAAGAGTCGTTTTTCTCATTGGATTTAAGCTTCCGTCTTTTTTTATTAAAGAAAATGTTGTAGAGGAGGCAAAGAGGCGTCTTTTGATTGGTTTAATATGAGCCTAATCTTTTGGAAAATGGCTTCTTATGACTTTAATGGTTAGTTGGATTTATTTGGATCCTTTTGAAAAATGATTCCCATTGAAAAAGGAAAATGTAATTAAGAAAGTTTCAGTTCTTAAGAGGAAAATTAATTGTAGTTAAATTAAAAAAGAATTAAGAGGATTGTTGGGAATCAAGAGTCAAAATGCACTTTACTCTCCGCCACAAACAGACAAACAAGAGCCGCCTCCCATTTCATTTCTTTTCTCCCGTTTTTTCCTTTTCAATTTGATGGCAAATCAAAAGAAAACCTTGCACGTGCATTGGTAATAAGAGGAATTCAGAGGAAAATATCGTACGCAAAAACGATTCTCTTTCATTCCTTTCATCTCTATTTACTTTTGATCGATAGAGAGCGATGCGGTACTTTTTTTCTAGGTCAAGGTTCATTAATGAGTAAATGATAGGAAGATTTTGATCTACTTATAGTTAGATGAGTTGGTTATGTTGCATTTGAATTATTTAATACATTTAAATTTATCAAATCTACAACACATTACTAAATTTAGTGATATTTTAAAAGGAATACTGCCGAACGCTACTTTAGCAATGGATTAAGAAGTGTTTTTTTACTTCGACTTATATTTTAAAACAAGTTTTTATGTAAGTCATGTCCATTGGTATTGAATCAAATCGATTTTTGAATTAAAGGATTGCTTTTGAATTAAATCCCTTATCTTTATACTTTTTCTTGTAAAGATCCAGAGGCTCATAGGTGAATAAGGTCAATCTCATTGGATGGATGCACAACTAAAAGCAAAAAGTCTCTTAAAACCATCAATTAAATCCCAAATTTGGTTTCTTGCTATCTTTTTTCTTAAAGATTAGCCAGAGTTCAAAAGAAAGTCATTTTCTTTCGAAAAATATTTTGATCAAGTTTCTTCAAAAACATCTCAGTCTGACAAGATTCTAAATTACTTAAATATTAAAATCAAACAAAATCAGACCATAAATCTAGACCCAAAACGCTAAAAGCTAAAAAAAGGAAGATCCAAGTTGTGATCGGGCAATTGCAATCTCTCCTGGGGTCAAAAAACGAAACCTCCGCTCGACAAAAAAAGCGTGGAAAAACTTTCGCGAACGTTCTAAATGGATAGGTGTTAGCTTTGATAGAAAAAAGCATTTGGCCTTGGGGTGGACAAGAGAAAAAAGTGGGAAAGGATAAGAAAAGTCTCAGAAAAAGTTCATCAAAAAACACATTGACCCCAGGAATCTCAAGGCTTTGATTGGCGTGGGTTGTCAAGGATTGCAATCATTTTTCGGAGATGATGTTCGGTGATTGATTCGATGGGATTTTGAAAGATAAATGTTTGAATATCATCTCCATAAGCAGTTTGTTTCTAAAAGCAACTAGAATACTAGAATTTAGCCTACTGCTTAAGCTAACTAAGGCACTAATAAACTTGTTCTGACTCTTGAAAGGCTAAAATTTTAAAGTAAATCTAAAAATGAACTTTTACCTGAGCATTTAGGACAAGATAAGCTATTACTTATGAGCTTTGGTTTGGAAAAATTGAAATTGAGTAGTAAAATTCTAGGTTAAGTCGACGAAAATGGCCTAAAATGATCACATTCTTTACATTCTCACATTCTCAAGTACTTGAGAAGGAAATTTGCTCAAGCTACAGTATTAGAATAATATAAAGTACATGAAGATAATGTATAAAGAACAATGGATATATGGGTATATCTATATAGAACACTAAAAAGGTGGGTCATAATTGGTAGGGATATGAAAAATCGTCTTGTACAAAATTTTCTTCAGCTTAAAAGCGTAGCAAAACACCTAAGATCAATCAAAATCCAATTAACCATTTCTGAATAAGCAAAAAATTGATGATCTTTTGAAAAATGGGCGCTTTTTCTCGTGGTAGCACATCGGGGTGGGGCAAAGGATTTTCTGTTTTCCGGGGGAAAGGGTGGGACGATGGAATACACAAGAATGGGAATAGATCAATGAGGATCGAGAGGATTTAGAGAGAATGAGGAAATGAAGAGAATGGGACACTTGATGTGGAGAGGGATGAGAAAGGAGAGATTGGCCAAGGAGCTTTTGGTTATGGGATTGTGAGAAGGGGAAAGGAAGCCACCCGATGCACAACACACCATACAGCACTAGAGTGCACTCTTTGCTCGCAGCCTCTTTGGTGCCTTGGGCTCTGAATCTTTGTAGACATTATCTCTTAGTGCACGTGGGGTCTACGTGAGTTTTAGAACAGTTGGGCAAAATTATTGTTTACAATTAACTAGATACAATTAGATATATTTGAAATTCAAGAAAATTGTCCCGATTCGAGGCAATCATCCTTGAGTTAAAGATTACAATAAATTGAGTTTAGGATTATGGATTTACAGATTACAGTTACAGTTAAGTTACAGATTTGGATAATTTACATTTAATTTAATGAATTTTTCAATGAAACTTCATTTGTCAATAGTACAGTAAGGAAATTAGAGTAAAAGTCGAAAAAATAAGGAAGAGGAAGAGCTTTTCAATGAATAATCGGAGGTAATCGTCTAAAGAAAAAAGCTTTTCTTTATCTTTATCTTTGTCTTTGTCTTTGTCTTTGTCTTTGTCTTTGTCTCAAAACTTTGTCTCAAAGAATTCCTGGCATATCTTGATGAGGAGATCAAGAATTAAACTTTTGATTAATGATTGACTTAATTCAGCAAAAAACAAATTCGGATTCGATAATTAAAAGAAACGTTAGTTCAGATTGAAAACATTGGATCCCAGTAAAAGTCAGTAAAGGTAAAAGTAACAAAACTCTTTAATTTACAAAGACTGATCGTTAGCCAAACTGATCAGATAAACTCTCCTATGTGCAATATTTTCTACTACATATCCCAGTTTCCTCTC